CCGATCCTGGCCCAACCACTCGGTATGTTTGGTCCACTCCTGAGCGAAAGCCTCTTTCAATCCGACCGAAACGTACAAGCAGCGGAGGCTCTCGGTCCATTCGCACCACAGGATCCAAGGCGGCCCGAGGGCCATGCAACGCGACATGTACTTTGTCGCCTGGGGTGGGGGTGAGGCCCTCTGCGTATCTCCTCCCTCATACATCCTCCCCCTCCTCCTACATCCTATCGGGCTTCCTACCGTATCCTGCCACCATCGCCCCTCTCCTCGATATTCTGTATCCCCCCATGTTTTTTTAGTGGGTGTGAGGTCTGCTTGATTCGCGAAACCGAATCGCCTGGATCCAGCCAGCTTTTCCCCCCCCTTCGAAGTGCGCCACTCGCCCCAAAGGAATGTACACACTTTTCTTCCAATGTTCACGGGTTTCTTTGACCAGGTGGGTCCACGTCACAGATTTTTTCAGGTACTCCTTCCTGGCCCAGTCCTTCCGGAAAGCAGCTTTGTCGGCCCCATCGGCCCGTTTACCATAGGCCATCCTGAGAGCCTCGCCCGCCTCAGTTGGGCTACGGATGGCTCGGTCCCAGCGCTTCCCGATCGGGTTCCCCTTCGTTGCTGCCGTTGGGACCTCCCACCCGTTATTCTTGATATTCTCCCAGAACAAGAATTCATTCTGTTGGGGGGTAGTGAGGTGCTTCAGCACCTCCTTGTTCTGCAATGTGGCGCCAGCAGCCTCTGGATCGGCTGGCCACGAGTCGTGCTGAGCGAAGTCGTGCCCCTTCTCCTTTAACATGACCTGGAACGGCTCCGACTTGAATGCAGCACCCATCTGCTGTTGCAGCGCGAAGGCCTTCTCTTCGGAGATGCCCTCGACCTCGTCGCACCTCATGATGAAATCCTGCGAGGGTGAGTGGGGCGGGCTGGCGCGAGACCCCCTCAACAGACGCACCATGCGCTCCCCCCTGCCCTCGTCCGCGCGCCCCGATCGCCTTCCCTCCCCATCCCAGCCACCGCTCGCAGGCGATGACCGACCTGGCGGTCGCGCTGCCTCGCGACGAGGACACGCCACCGCCAGGGTGGAGGGACGGGCGAGGGAGGGGAGGGGGGCGTCGGGTCTGGCGGACAGAAGGCGACAGGGTTTAAGTGGCGGAGGTGGCAGGGGATATTAGTTGCGCAGGATGGAAGAGACGCTATAGCAGGAGGGGGGAAAAGGATGATGAGATGAAATGTGCTCTGGATGTGGAGGAGAGGGGGGGACGATGGCAGAGAGGATGGCGATGTGGAGCATTGCAGGAGAGATGGTCGGAGCAGGACGGTCGAGGAAGAGGAGAAGCGATGATGAGGAGGAGGCGAGAAGGAGGAGGGACACGGAAGCCACCCCCTGTTTCGCCCCTGCGCATTCCAGGAACTTCTTGGAGGCCTGCTCTGTCATGCGGCCGACCTGCTGCAGCTTCTGGGTCTTCGGCGGCGTCTGGAAGGCATCCTGGCAGGGATGGAAGGGCGGAGGAGATGGAGCAGAAGGAGGAGGGACGACGTACCCGAAGGTTCGAACGGGTCAGCGATGTTTTGTTTGTGCGATCCGTGGGTTGCTGGATCTTCCGCAGCCGATACTCCCTGACGAACTCAGCCTTTGCTTTCTGGATCTCGATAAACGTCTCGCGATCGATCTTCCGAGTCGGAACCAGGGAGCCGTGAATGATGCGGGGCTGGAGCCGCTCCTGATCGAGCTGTCTGTGCACTCACCCACCTGCCCGCGCTCCTCCCCATCACCACCTCGCTGCTACAACACACCCTCATCGCCTGCCTGACCCCTCCACCCAAGTCACCCCGTCGCTCCTGCACGAGGCCGCCGCCGCTGGGCGCGGGCGCCACGGGCCCTCGAGCCTCCGCTGGCCCCCCTGGCGTTGGCAGCTGCTCCGCGGGTCCCGCGGCGCTGCTCTGTTGGGGCCGCTCCACGCTGTCTGCAGGCGGTTCTGCGCTAGCGTATGCTGGCGGGCCCTCCGCAAGGCTGGCACTAGCATCGGGGCTGCTGCTGGGTGCGATCAGCGGCCGCCGCTGCTGGGCCCTGCCGGGTGCTGGTCGCGAGGCGGTGCTGCTGCGCGCGAACGGCGGCTCCACTCCGCCAGCTGGCACGCGCTGCGGCGCTGCGCTGGGCCGCGGAGCGCGGCTCGCCGCATGCAGCGGCGTGCGCGTCGGGGCGCGCGGCAGCGTGAGGAAGGGCGTCTCGGGCGACGGCGGCGCGGGGGTCTCGGTCAAGACCAGGGGCAGCGTGCCTGACAGCCACGGGGTGGGAGAGAGGGAGCTGAAGGGATGAGGGATGGGAAATAGGAGAAGAGATGGACCCCGCCTCGATCCCCAGCGTCGGGCACGGGCGTCTCCTCATCGTCGCTCACGGGCGGGAGGACCTCGCAAACTTTCTGCACCAAGCGATCGGCCGCGAGGCTCATCTCGGAAGGGTGCACGCTGTCGGTCTCCATCCGCCACAAGCCTATGCAGTCGCCGTCCTCTGCCTTGACCTGCACGCTGTCTGGCGTCTCCGTAGCCGCGCTGCGGTCGTCGTCGCCCGTTGGCTGGGTCGCGCCGACTGGCATGGCCATCATGGCGAGGTGGGCGTCGACCTGCGGTTGGCTGGCAGGTTCGGTCGGCATGTCCTCGTCAGCGCTCTCGGTTGGCGAATGCTGCGGCCGTTCTCCAACGGCGTCGGGCTGCTCCGACCTCGCGGCGGCGTCTGGCTGCACCTCCCCCAGGGCGGCGCCTGGCGGCGTCTGGCTGCCTCTCTCCAAGGGCAGCTCCTCGATAGCTGCGTCGGGCTGCTCCTCGCGAGCCTCCGCCATCGGCGGCTCCGAACTCATGCTCTCGCTGCGGTGCGCGGGCGCACGATCGGCGCACAGTGCGCCGAAAACAGGCGCGGGCCCTCTCGGGGCCAAACGGCTGACGGGCTGACCCGTGCAGTGGGGCGTTGGCGATGACCCAACTTCAATCGAAAGGGGGCCCGGCTGAGGAGGACGATGAATATCAAAGGACTGAGGGGCAGGAGAGGTGGGGAGGCCGAGAGGGGGGAATGATGAGGACGAGGCGGAGGAATCTAGCTCGAGGAGGAGGCGGGGGAGGAGGAGAAAGAGGAGGAGGAGGAGGAGGAGGAGGAGGAGGAGACGGAGGAGGAGGAGGAGGAGGAGGAGGAGGAGGAGGAGAAGGAGGAGGAGGATGAGAGAGGGAGCAGCTTGTGCGTTCAAAAAACACTCGGCAGGTCCAGGACGAGCACACAGGGGACATATGCGTGGGCCTGTCGGCGCGCCGCCAACCACCTCCTCCACCACCCCTCGTCATTCGCAGCCAATCCTCAACCTCCTTCCTTCCCTCATCCCTCCCCTAGTCCTTAATTCTCCTGGTCTTCCTCACCATCATCCCTCACCTCGCCTCCTTATCGCGCCGCCATCAAGCGCCTTCCCCCTCTCCCCCAATGGGAGGGGAGGGGGAATGTGGATTGGGCTCGGTTCTCATCATCCTTGTCCTCATGCAAGCACGCTCGGTTTCTGGCGAACCGACCCTGCGCTGTGATGATAGCGCAGGCGGGCGTGCGAAAGAGTGCGCCCGTCGATCCGACCAGCACCTGCATGCGGTAAACTCGGCCTGACCGACCTTGTAGCGTGAAGCTCGGTCGGTCGATGGCCTATCGATCGGGAGCGACCCGAGCAAGCTAGACAAGCTTGCACGGTGCCCGATCAGAACCCGTCGAAGAGGCCCGTGGGGATGCCGCCCTCCTCGGCTGCGTTGTCGTCGCTGTCCACCTGGCAGGTCTCGGCGCCGTTGCTGGCGGGCGCGGCGCCGCTGCTGGCCGGGGCGGCGGCGCAGCTGGTGGCGGGAGCGGCGCCGCTGCTGGCGGACGCTGCAGGTGCTGCAGCGCCACCGCTGGAAGATGCCGCCATGGTCACCTCGCGGTTGACGACGATGACGGGCTTGTCGATCTTCTCTGTGCTCTCATCGTCATCTCTCGGGGCCTCCTGCTGGCTAGCCTTGGCGCGCTTGGCAGCGCTGCACGGCTGCTCCTCGCCCTCCTGCATGTCGCCGTCGTCGGGCGGCTCCTGCGGGCGACTTCACACTCTGAAAAATCCTCCTCCTCCTCCTCCTCCTCCTCCTCCTCCTGCTCCTCGTCGTCGGCCTCATCCTCCTCCTCGCCTACGCCCTCTCGCCGCGTCTTCGACCCACCTCAAGGTTTCCCCTCGTCGATCGTCCAATTCACTTGCCCCCTCCTCCTACATACCTCCCTCCCTCTCCTCCATCCGTCTTCATCCCCCCTCATCCTCGTCACTCTCCTCCTCCTCCTCATCCTCTTCCTGCTCCTCATCCTACTCCCCCTCTGTCCGCCACCTCCTCCCCACCGCCCCCTTCCCCCGCGACGCCCCTTGGGTTGGAATTCCCATTAGGCCCCGCCAGGCCGAGCCCCTCGCACATGAGTGCCCCCCACCACCACCACGCCCTATTTGGATCCCGCCCCGATGTCCTGGTCGGCCTCCTCCGCTGCCGCTGGCCGCGCAGCTGCCGCCGCTGCCGCGGGCCTCTTGAGCACCGCCGCCGCCGCCGCCGCGGGCCTCTTGGCGGCAGCTGCCGCCGAGCTCTTGCCCATGCTGATGAGCCACTGCTTCTTGAGCTCCTTGCAGTCGTCCTGCGACTTGCCAGCGCAGTACTGCGAGGCCACCGAACACATGAAGTTCTTCGCCTGCTCCTCGACCGCCTCGCCCTCCAAGTCCTTGTACTGCAGCTCCATGAGGTGCTTGGGCCGACTGCCCGCGCCGCCCTGCTTGTGCCAGAGCGCGAGCCACTTGGCGGCCTTCTTCGTCACGAACGTGACCGTCACCTTGCCGCCGTCCTGGTGGACGCCTGTGAACGCCAACGCCTTGCCGTCGGGCTCCGCGAGGAACTGCGCGTTCGTGTTCGGCACGCGCCACTGCATGCCGTCGGGCCAGCAGCACAGGATCCACGTGTCGGAGCCGGATCGCCTGCCGACCGTGTACTGCGGCGCCGACGTGGGATCGCCCGCCTTCCTGCGCCAGCCAGCCTCGCGCGGGGAGGGCGGGGTGGGGGTGGGGGGGGCATCCTCCTCATCCCCCTCCTCCTCCTCCTCCTCATCCTTTTCTTCGCCCTCCTTCTTTTCCTCCTTGCCCTCCTTCTCCTCATCGGCCATTCCTCCTCCTCCGCCTCCCCCTCCCCCTTATTCTCCACATTTATAAGTCTCCTCCTCGTTCTCACATCGCCCTCTCCTTCGCCCGCGTGCCCCCCTCCCATCGTCCGCGCCCTCACGCGGCAATCGCGATTGTCCTCATCATCGTCATCATCATAATCATCATCATCATCGGCATCACCACCACCATCGTCATCAACGTCACCACCATCACAAATGATATCAGCGTCGTCGTCATCGGCACCATCGCCATCACCAGCATCGCCCATCATCAGTCATATTTCGTCGCCCCCATCCTCCTCCTCCCAATCCTCCTCCTCCTCCTCCTCCTCCTCCTCCTTCTCCTCCTCCTCCCTCCGATCCTCGTCCAGCCTCCTCATCCTCCTCCCTCCGACCCCCCCCATCGAACCCCTTCATGGTCATGATCTTCTCGAGCTCCGACCTGCCTGGGCGGCCCACTGCAGCTGCAGGCCTCCTCTTGAGAGCGGGCGCTTCCTGGCCGCCAAGCTCCTCTGCTGCGCCGCCCTCAAGCTCCTCTGCTGCGCCGCCCTCTGGTGCCTCCGCGGCTCGCGAGCCGCCGAGCTCCTCCTCCTCCTCCTCGTCATCTGCCTCGAAGCTCTCGGGCTGCTCTGGTGAATTCAAGCAGCCAGGCTCGGAGCCGTCGTCATCGGCCTCATCCGCGGAGTCGTCCGCGAACGCTGCAGCCCACTTCGGCACCCTCCTGCTGGTGTTGGGGCAGACAACAATGCAGGGGGAGAAGCGGGCATATGGGTCGACGACGGCACGATGAAGACGATCGGTGGAGGTCGGGCTCAACAGGTGATGGGGGCCCAACGGGCCCCAACCCCATGAAAATCGAATTTCCCCCAATTCCTTCCCCTCGCTCCTACTCGTTCGTCCTCCACCGATCGTCTTCATCGTGCCGTCGTCGGCCCATCTGCCCGCTCCTCCCCCTGAAGATCCTCCATGCCCCTCCCCTCCTGCCCCCTCTCAGGGAGAGAGGGGGGGGTACAGAGGGTGAAGGTGGTTGCACCCGTTCGGTCTTGGCCGTCACAGCCACCGCGACGTGCCGCAGCATGGTCCGCACCATGTTGGCCGCGTCGGTGGACCACTGGTCGGCCTCGGGCCCGAGGTGCCAGCCTGGCCTCTGCTGCGCGATCTGCTGCATGGCCTCCTCGGGATCGCCCCAAAGCAGACCGTGCGGAACCGGGCGCGCGGCATGGCACAGCACAGCATTAACACGAAAGTTTTTGAAGGGCTGCGTAGCAATTCACAGCTATAGCGTTGCGCCGAACGCTCGGACTTACTTGCGTTGCATGGCATTGCATAGCACTGCACGGCATTGCATCGCATGGCATAGCATTGCATTGGCGCAAGTCGTAGCAAAGCGGTGCATAGCAAACCGTACCACGATGTATTGCAACTCGCTCCGTGGCACAACGTAGCATAGAACAGCGTAGCGTACTCCTCCCCTCCTTCCTCCCCCTCCTCCTTTCCTCCCGCGGGTCCTTCGCGGCCCTCGGCGTCACCGATGTGGCGACGGCGCGCGTCGCCTGGAGCAGCGCCGTGTGCTTCACGAGCTGCTTCGCATCCTAGGGCTGGAGGGCGGGGTGGATCCTCCTCCTCCTCCTCCTCCCCCTCCCCCTCCTCCTCGTCCTCCTCCTCCTCCTCCTCCTCCTGCTCCTCCTCCTCCTCCTCCTCCCCCCTCCCGTCCCCCTCCTTACCCTGCCTTCCGTTCTCCTCTTCCTCTTCCTCATCGGCCCTCCTCGACCCTTATCCCTCCTCATCCTCATCCTTCTCGACTCCTCCTTCTCGACTCCTCCTTCCTCCCTCCTCCTCCTCCCCCTCCTCCTCGTCCTTCTCCCCCTCCCTCCCCCTTGTCCTCCTTCTCTTTTAACCCGCGGTCCAGCGGGGCGTCCAGCTTCGTGGCGTAAGCCACGCTGTCCGCCTCCGCGACGTGGGGGCCCCACAGCTCGGCGAGCACGGTCGCGCCGTCGAAGCTCGGCCGCTTGCCGCCCTGCGGGGGAGGGGGGCGGCGAGGAGGGGGAAAACGTGGGGGAGGGAAGAGGATGCGCGCCTTCTTGGGCGCCATGGGGCGCGCCCGCGAGCCCGCCGCGGCGCCGCGCCGCACCCTGGCCCCCGCGGGGCTCTCGAGGGTTCGCGGCTGCCCCGCGGCGGCGGAGCGGAAGAGGGGTCGAAGGAGGAGGAGGAGGAAAGGGGCGAGGAAACGCAGGAGAAAAATTGAAGACAAGAAGAGGAGGACCGAGGAGGAGGAGAAGAGGAAGAGGAAGAGGAACAGGGGGAGCGAGGAGGAGGGATCGAGGAGGAGGAGGAGGAGGAGGAGGAGGAGAGGAGGGAGAGGAGGAGGAGGAGGAGGATAGAAGTATATTATGTTTTTGGGCTTGGTACAGCGGCATCTAACAGCTAGAATAGCTGACATACACACTGTATACCTATATGTATGGTTGTATTACTATATATATATATAGTTGTACAACAATATGTATAGTTGTACAACTATATATATAGTTGTTCAACAACCACAACTATATTATAGTTGTGCGCAACCTCAGGGTCGGGCAGTTGCACGGATGCTTTGTTCAGGTTTCGGGCGATGTTGTTCAGGTTTCGGGCAGTTGCACGGAGGTCCGGCCAGAATAGCAGGTCATCTTG